TGTCCTGCGTCCTCAGTTCTGCAAAGGCACCATGATGCCAAACTCCCACGGGTCGAGGGAGGATGGGAACGCCTTCGGTGGGAATCCCGCACCCAATGCTCCCAAGCCTCAGTGCTTTCCCTCACTCAGCCCTTGCCTCTTCACTCACTCATTGCTTAGCCCCTTGAGTCACAATTTCCCAGGCCAGCCACTGTCTGGCTAACTGCACAGTGAGCTATGGTGAGTGGTAAGTGAATCTGTTTCATTTCTTTTATTTTTTATTTTTTTTATTTTTTTATTTTTTTTTTGTAGTCTCAGTGATCCCTGCGGTCGGGGAAGAATTTTCCAATACAAAGGGAGGCCGGAGCTCTGAGCCTGGTCTTTCTTACCCTCTTCAGCTTGCGTATGAAGAGAGTCAGCAGGAGCCAGAAAGCCACACAGGTACATGTCAGCGTTATCAGCTCCAGGTTTGACCTCTCTGACGTGCCTGGGAAAACCAAGCAGCAAGCATTTTAGATAATGACCTACAAAATGGGGCAGTTTATGTTTGATTGCCATTAAAATAAAACACCAGGAAGGACTACCTTTCTCTGCAGAGGGTGACAGAGCCCTGGAACAGGCTGCCCAGAGAGGGTGTGGAGTCTCCTTCTCTGGAGATCTTCAAAACCCGCTTGGACGCAGTCCTGTGCCACGTGCTCTAGGTGTCCCTGCGTGTGCAGGGGGGTTGGACTAGATGATCTCTAGAGGTCCCTTCCAACCTTGAGCATTCTATGATTCTATGATTCTAGCTTCTCTTCAATGGGGTATTAATCTCTGTTTGGCCTGGCTCACAGAGCCTGGAAAAAAAATGATCTCCTCAACAAAACCATTGAGCTGAGCATGGAAAAAGGAGGCTGAATTTGTAGCACCCTCTTGGTACCTTTTTTTTTTTTTTTTCAGGCCTTCCTTGAGATGCAGGAGGTCAAGTAAGCCAGGTGGTAATGTTATTATAGACATCAGTGAATCCAAGCTCTCATTCCTGTCTGGATGGGTCAGGTCTGGCACAGAGCTGCTGAGCTGGACTAGAGCACAGGTGTCATAAGTGCCGTGTCCATCCAGCAGCATGGATAGCCCCAGGGTGCACTCCTGGGATGCAGCCCGGGTTCCCATGGGGCACCCACCTCTCCTGTCCCCAGCAGCAGCTGGCAGAGTCAGGCTGCTGTGAGGCTGGGAAAGCTCTCCAGAGCAGGGAGCAAATTAAACACAGAAGGGGAGAAATAACAACAGCAACAACCACAAAAAAAAAAAAATGGAGCAGCAAGAAAACATGAACTTAAGAAATCTGGAGAATATTAGAGTCTACTGAAAGATCCTCAAAAAATCCTAAATAAAATTCTCCTCAGATTGCTACTTAGGGACTTGTAAAATGGTTTCAGAGCATCTTTACAGATTGTGTCAAAATGCCTCGCTTCCCACAGTACTCCCTCCGTTCGAGTGGCAGCGGATGCGAAATGCTCATGCTCTGCTCTTTTTCTGATACCCTCCTCCTGGGACAGGGGAGAGGACAGGGAGCAATTCTGAACATGATTTCCCAGTGGTTTTGGCAACTGCGCTTGCAGTGCTTTCAAACCCCGTATAGCTCCTGACAAATGCGAAAGGGATGGTTGTTGTCTCACTGGTGGGCACCCTCATAATCGGAGGGATGTGTTGCCTGATTTTAAGCAAGGCTACAGCTTGAATTGCTTCCTGTAGCTGTGGCTTAACAAGCATAATATCTTCCCTCCTTAAAAGTGATAATCAGATTTGTGTTCATGCCCTGTATTTAAGATTCCTCAGGCATGTCCAACCTGGATCTTCGACAATAAAACTTGTTGCAGCAAAAATATTACTGCAACGAACAAGTGCAGGTTACACAATATCTATTTCCCCAGCACACAAGCTGTTAAATTTTCAAAAGTGAGTATTTTTAAAGGCTTAATTTAGATAGGGAACATAATGATAGCAAAAATGATACAGCCTAATACAGCTTGCTTGTCTTCTGGCATCAGGCTTTCCATTTGCATATGTATACTCTTCTGTTGCTTCTGAACAGTATCCACACAGATGGCAAGTAATAGTTTCTGACATTTATTCAGCAAAACCTGGAGGGACTGAAGGTTCATTTGTTGCCACTGCTCCATATGACAGGACTCACAAAACCCATGAGGTACAATACAGCCTGTGCCGAAGGAGGAAGGCAGCAACTTTCCAACGTCTCCTTGCATGCCACATGGGAGGTAATGATGTGAAGGGTCTGTCTTTGAAATGTCAGTGGGATTTTAGGCAGCAAGAATGCATTCCTCCCAGCTGGAAGTCGAGTAGATTATCAAACTTGGGGATTCCAGTCCTGTGTGAAAAACTTTGCTGACAGATCTGGCTGAAAGCCTCCCAGATGAGTAGCAGAAAAATCTGATTAGAGGTAAAACAAAGATAGTGAGTTCTACAGGAATGAGAAAGTAAAAGGAACACATAAAAGGCCTGAGAATGACAAAAGCTAGTAGTAACTCTGAATACAGCTCTCAATCTCCCTACACTGTAGCCCAGGATCCCTGACCCCTGCCTCAGCCACCCTTGGACACCCCAGTCACACAAAGATTTGTCCCTTCATGCAGGTTTGCCTCATCTGCCTCACTCCCTCCTAGAACAAGCAGCCCTCTTCCTCTCCCAGAGCAGCCCTTTTCCTCCCCCTCACCCCTGTGTGTGCACAGAACACCACGGAGGGCAAGGAGAAGGAGACCGAAGCAGTCAGGCAGGGCCAGACAAGAAAGAAAGCAGTAGATATTGCTACTTCACTTCCTCTCTCAGTAACAACCCAGGACCATACAGATCCTGCTGAGCAGAGCCCATACTAACCAGCAGATCCCTTCACGTGTCAGCAGTATCATCTGTTTTGAGTGCCACTTTTGGCAGGTCACTCCTCTGCTTAGGCCTTGGGTTGCTGTGGTCTCCATTTTGGACCAGCACAACTAGGACTTCAGACTCTAAGCGTCCAGGTACGGTTCTTTTTCAGGTACAGACCAGAAAAAAAAACATTTGAGGTGCCAACACCCTGCTGCACCCAAAGGGTCTCAGTGTCCACCACCTCCTATATCAATATGGTCTGTCCTGGCTTTGTCTGTGTGACCTCCTGTGCAACACTGGAACAGGTGTCCAGAGATGCTGTGGACTTTTCATTTGTGAAGGTTTTCATGACTTTATCAGACAAAGTCATTGCTGGCCTATGCTAGGATCAGCGATAGACCTGGTTTGCACTGGAGGTTGCCCTGGGCTCACTTCCAACCTGTGCTGCAGCAGTGTAAGCAGGTCCTGATGTAAAGTAATGGGATATTTTCTCTTACAGTCATCCATATAATGCCGGCTGAATCTCATTTATTAATTGAAGAAATTCTCGTTAAAATTAACTGAAACATTCCAAGTAACTTCAGAGAGGCCCATAAGATACAAACAACATTTTGAGATGCAAAGGTAAATAGATAGACAAACAGGTAGCTATATAGAAAACATATACCCTTTTCATAATGCCAGAAGAGCTGAATGAATGCTTGATAAATATGATGCTTTTCTTTCTCATCAACAAGGACCACATAAAGTTGTGAAGCATCGACTTTAATCTAAGCCACATAAGTGAGTTTAAGCTGTAAAATATGCTCTTCATCGACATACACTTCAGATGGTGCTCCATCTTTGTAATTAGATGCGTGAAGGACACTTTCCTGAGGGAGTGTGCAAGAGGCCTCAAGTTGAGAAGCAATGGGAAGGTTTCAGGTGAAAAGCTGACTGTTTGGAGACAGCTAGTGCCAGGCATGGCCCTGAAGATAGACTAAACTCCCTGCATCCAAAAGTTTGCATCAATCTGTATTTAAGAACCCATTCCTCTTCGTTGTTGGGTGCTATGGGAGCCATTTGTTGTTGCTGTCTCTTCCTTTGAGAATTGTTGTCTTTTTAGTTCCTTAGCCAAGAGCAAATGGACAGCTTGCTCTGACATTCCTAAAAATGTTGCTCCTCTCCTCCTCAGAAAGCCCGAGAAGCAGAGCTTCCAAACCAAACAAGGGCTGTGATTATTTAAAGTCGGCCCTTGGATTTCACCATCCATTCATCCATCTCTGATATATAAAAATAACACATTGTTTTATCTGTAAGTATAAGAATGTTTTTTCAGAGCAAATAAAAAGAGCAGACAGTTTCCTTCCTGACTCATTCACAAACTGCTCTTCCAATCTGTTAAACACAGCCATAGACACGAGGCATTGCTCTATTCTCTTTGATCTACTGCACTGCACTCTGAGAACATTGGTACAGACAAATGCTTTGTTATTTGCAGTTGCAGTTATATGGTGTTTCTAAGAAAGCTGAGAAAGTGGTAAAGCCTCAGGCAAGCCTCATGTTAAAACTCTGATTCTATATCTCTAGGCCCCAAAATGGACTGGGAGGTTGCAGTTCACTTGAAGAGGGGCAGATATGCAAGTTCTGTGAAACCTGCATAGAAATGAGTGAAAAAAAAAAAAAACCTCCAGTAGGGTCCATCATGCTTTGTGAAGATGGAGGAAAGAAACATTTTTTTTCCCAATCGTACTAGGTAAAAAAAACTCTTTTCCTTATTCAATCTCAAAGCTATAATTTTCTAGTACATAATGGACTACATCTTCTGCTTATCTTAGAGCTCCCACAGAAATCATGCAAGAACAGTGTGTGTGTTCTCTGCAGGACATATGGTTGGAGAAGAAGCTTTCCCAGTTGCTGTATATCCTCTTTTCTAGTTCATGCAGAAGGAGATATGACTTGCTAGAAGCCATCCTATGGAATGTTGGCGGTTGTAATAAATATCCAAGATATAATGATGTCAAAAATCAATACAATAATGAGTTACATTGTCCAGAATAATCACCCATCAGGATGAATTTCACAGCAAACACTCAGGGACAAGTCATTCTTCCAGCAATTATAATAGTTACTAAAACCTTGGCATTATTCATAAGCAGACAGTTGGTTTTTACTCTTTGATTATACCAGTTAGGGTAGCTCACGTGCATATTCCTAACCCTGACCATCCAAAGCAAGACCTTTATCATCAACAACACTCAACTAAGACTGCTAAAGCACTTATCACAGAAAATTAATATTGATTTACTAGCTATAATTGTCTTCTGCTGCAGGGCAGTATCCAAATATTCAGAAGGACATAATCTCTTCCTCAGGGACCTGGTAGTCAAAATGCCTTATATAAAGAGATGTGAAATGCAGTTAGGACTGTTTACCTAAAACATGAGATCAATAAGATAGGATATGTGAAATTCACGCATGGCACTCACGTATATGGAGAATGTCCGTCTGCTTTTCCTTTCTCAAAATATATAAGCCAAATGTATATTCAACAAAACTGAAAAGTTACAAAGTAAACCTGATTTTTATGCAGTGTACAATTACTCTAGGGAAGTCACTGCCCCAGGTCTAAGTCAAGCTTGGCATAAGTCAGGAGGACGATGCTGTGTATTTAAATGAAGAGCAAAATAACTCAAGTAATGGTAGCTCTGACAACTCGATCATACCTACTTCTTACATTAAGTACCTTGGAAAAATGCATTTATAGTTATTGCTAGGGTAAAATCTTCTGATCCTATTTGTCACTTCAATTTACACTGAAAAGGAAAAAATGAAAGTATCTGAAGCCTCTGATTTTTATGGAATTAACCTGAAATCGCAAAATGAGTGGGTAGGAGTATGTTCTTTATTTTGTTTTTGTTTGTTTTGATGATACTAAATTTACATTTGTCTTCTACCCTGACCCGATCTTTGTTGGGTTGAAGCAATTCTTTTTAGGTCAGTATAAACACACTCTGGGTTAGCATTTCCTGTTAGGCTTCCTTTCCAACCTGATACATTTCCCTTGCTAAGACTTCCTTCAGATCGCTCCATTCAGAGATCACCACATGATCCACAAGTCATACACCCCCTTTTCCAGCTCGAGTAAGAACATCACTCTGACAAACTTGCTGTTATCATTTATATCAATTTTTACCTTGTACTGTGACATATGCTGCACTCTCCACAGACCCTTTTAAGTTGGTGGCTATGCACTGGTAAAGTCCTTCATCCTCCTCTTTTACTCTTTCAATAAACAGCATACGACTTCCGGGCCCTAAAATTATTCCTGTGAAATGAAAGATTTTGCAATGAGTGGGAGCCAGGATATAAACAAAAACAACCACTTGTGTAATAATATCTGCTTCAAGTTCTTCTCAAAAGAAATCTGAGCCACAGACTGCATAGCACAATGTTATCTGCAGGAAAGCCAAATATACTTGGATGTTTTGGGAAACTTTTGGAAATCAGTGTTTATAAAACACTTGTGTGAGTGAAAAAGCTCAGCCTAATAGAGTGATCCAGGGAGCACTTGGTAGTAAGCATAGCGAACAGCACCATGCTTAGACTTCCATGCAAGCAAGTTCTCCAGCATGTCTCCAGTTTTTAAACACATGGGTGGTCTGGGTGCACTTATCAAGGCAGGTCTGTCTCAGAAGCAGTCTGAGTCTTGGAGCACTTCCAGGACCTAGTTCCAAACATCCACATTGGCCTTACAGGCAACAAATTCAGACTTGCTACAAATCTTATTTGCTCACATGACAGGGGATACTAAGCCGTTTCTAGGAAGGACTCCAGCTAGCGTGAAAAATGTCCCATTAGGTGTATCCGAAAATCTCGGCGTTAGTCAAAGTTTTCAGCATCTCCAGCAAGCAAGGAACAGAGGCAGGCAGCAGATTTGGCCTCAGGCCTTCCTTGGAGGCACAGTATAGCCAGGAAATGTGTAGTTAAGTACACATTTACGCATTTGGCGCCAAAACAGAACTATCATCCCATTCAAGTATATTCCCACCATCTATTTCAGGCACTTAACTCAAGTGCTCTGACTTGCCCTACAATGACATCTTCCTGGCTCCTAACCTTGTGTGTGTTGCACTTACACCCAAGTTAAAAACACAGCTTCTAGAAGACAGTGTAAATAACCCACAGCATAACCCTGTGGTCAATGTAAAACTCACAGAATCTAGCTCTAGATTATGTTTATTGTCTACATTGCAAGTCTACACATGTTTATAACTCACTTTAACAAACACCCAGAGATTTTCCCAGTTGCCTTTATTTTATGGTAGTTTCAAATAACACAGGATAGAAGCTTATATGCAGAATATTGCTATTAAAAGCTTAGCTTACAAGTTCTTTCAGACCAAACCTACTTCAACACTTTTACTGAGTCTTTAAGACTATCTCATTGTATGGTTCTGATTGAGATGTGGATGAATTATAATAAAAGTTTTGCCTTTTTCTCTCATCAAAAATTTTCACCTTTTGTTCCTAAAGTCTTCAAGGAACCTTTCCATAATTGTGGTTCCATCATATCAAGACCTGTAGCCTTGACTGATCTTTGAAGACACAGTCTGAACATGCCACTAAACATCTCTGTTTTTTTGAATAACTGCAGTGTAACACCTGAGCAGCTATTATTTTCTGCTGCATGAAACTTAGATACCCCTGGCACAACTGGATGCATTTCAGTTTCGCTTGGGGATCCCAGATTTAGAATTAGTTGGGCGGTCAGCTCATGAAACTAGAGCAGACTTTACACGTCTGGCCACAGACTTCCCCTGGTACTTACATGTGTGTCACTCAGGCTTTGATTTATCCCGCACAGCTATGTGGCCAAGACACCTAATCCTTAGGCTCCCTCTATAGTAAACAGAGAGAAATAGGATTCTCTAGAGATGATTCTTCTAAGTTGCAATTTGAGAAACCTTGTTCTCTCTGAGTGCATGGGACCTCTAGCTTGGAAGAGGTCCTCAAGTGAGATTAGATGATGTGACCCACCATGTTGTGCTGCTCTCTGCCCCACTGTAAAGGAGGGATAATTCTGCTCCCTACTTTGGGCTGCAAATGCCAGTGACTGTGGGAATGGTTACCTGAGACACATGGAGTGCAATGTAAAGATTATAAAGGTGGAGAAGCATACAGAGCTCTCACCTGATTCTTCGTGTATTTCTTCATGGTTTTTAAACCAGGATATCTGTGGCTCTGGGATACCTTTAACCTGGCACTCCAACACTGCTGAGTTACTGGTGTTCACCGTCTGATCCGTAAGGTGCCGCAGCAGGGCTGGTGCCTCTTGAGCTACAAGACAAAACAATATCTCCATTTTACATTCCTATAACTGTGGATTTTAAATTATCTTCCAGCATTTTACTGATGTTAGATATTGGTGCAGGTGTTCTATCAAGATCATTGTTCACAGATGTTATTTACTGCTCCAGTTTGTTTAAGAGCATTTGGTGTGTACAGAGTATTCCCTTTACTCAGCAGCAGCAGGTTACGATGACCAGTGGTTCAACATCCGAGGCTGACATTGTTTAGAAGACTTCCTCAATTCCATTATCAACCACATCTGTTTACTAAAAGCAATGAGCTTTTATGAGAGCTCAGAATTTTGCAGAAGCAGGAGAAACACTGACATGGAAGCTTTTAACAGTTATCAGCGCATTTCTCTGCATCACATAGAAATCTGTACAGTTCTATACACCACTATATCCATGAATGTGACTTTTATCATTTATTTACTTCAAAGAGTAAGTAATGAATACTATTCAGCAAAATCACATAAATCCAAAACCAGAAACCATGAGCATAAAGGCACTGTGTTACATCTGCCACTCAAGACTTCATAAAATTTTTCCACTCTTCTGTTTTACACGTTTTGCTGAAGTCAATGAGGCCTGTCCAAACCACTCCAAAACTGAGAAAACTGTGTTGGTGAGAAAGGTGCCCCATGTCATCAGATAGCCTAGAAATGCTGGAGAACCTGGTGGCAGCAGCAGAGGTGAATCCTAGCATTGCACACAGCACACCACCATTCCTGTTTCACCTTTTTTGCTGCTTGAATTCATACAGTGAGATGTAATAAAATACATTTCCATGTCATCCAGTGACAGTAAATATCAGAAGTTCTGCTTCTGCTCAAAAGCTCCCAGCTGAACAGAAGAGCATCCCAAAGACACTCCACAAACATCACATTAAAGTTATCCCTGGGAGAAGCAAAGCCACAAATCTTCCTCATCTTCATTTCAGCCATCCCCCACTTGTGCCCCACTTTCTTACCAGTGGAAGACTCTTCTGACAAAAATCAAGGTATCTGTCATACTTATGTCCATTATGTAACAACATCTTTCTGTCACATTGGCAACTTCTTACATGATCCCTTTTGATATTTTTGTCCCTTAAAAGTAGAGATGGAGACTCCATTGCATCCCTGAACAAACTCACAGATGCAGATGCACTGCAGATTCCCTTTTATTTGCTGTTCTTGCAAGAACCGATTACTTGCAATCCTCTCTTTCAAAACACTGCCTGTGTTTATTACTGTGGTAAGACACACATTAAACACACAAGAAATAAAATAAAATAAAATAAAATAAAATAATATAATCCCTTGCAAACTATTTTCATTTAGACCACAATAGACATTGGTACACCAAGTTCATTATCAGCTGAATTTATGACATTCTATGTTTGGACGATTGTACTCTACTCTTTCAGAAAAAAAAATGACTCTGTTATCTGTCAGACACTTGCATCATCATAAACATTTTATTACCAGCTGTGAATAAAATCTCTCTGAAACAGCACCAATGTACCCTCAGTTCATTCAGTGTGTGGACCCTGTAGTACTAGAAGCTTTTCAACACTTCCAAAATAGACCATCTTTGCTATGCTCTTAATTCCAACATAGTCACGAATCCTCAGTGACCAATTTGGTCTCTTATGTGCTGCAAGTCTGCCATTTCCGAGGGCAATCCTACTATTTGTTTACAGTGCAGTAGACAGTCTGTTCTCCTTTCATAAACAGTAATGCTCATGAGAGAAGCCATGAATAAATGTTTTAGCAAATACCTACACAACGGCATTAACAATATTTTCCCTGCCGCCAGGCAGGCTGGCCTCTTGTCATTTATATCTCTCCTTGATTTCTGCACGGTTCTCAGTCTTCACAAAACAACCTGTCTATGACCAGGCATTGGATTGACAGACATTCACATGCATAAACCGCATTTCACATTTACCAGTGGTCCCCGCTGGATACCCCAACCCAGGCTTTCAAAAAGAAGGAGGACGAGAAAACACAACAAAGGCAAATCACACGTTCTGTGGGTTATTTGCAATTAATTTTAATTTGTTTATAACCATACACTAGAGATGGGTTTCCATGTTAAGAACTTCCTTTCTTAAAACTTAGATACTGTCACCATTCACACACTCTCAATAGTTGCTCTGCTGCAATCAGCTGATTTTTCAGGGATTTGATTAATTTGCTGATTAATTTGCAGATTGCTCTTGCGAACCACCTATTTCTCTAGTTTGTTTTTTCAGTAAAGGCAAAGGGGATGTTTTGCAAGTGAAGCCCAGCTCTGCTCACCCTGAAGCTGAAGGACTTGCCTTCACTCGCTTTCAGCGCAGGCAGAGCTGAGATGCTGCTGCCCGAGCTGAACGCCAGCGTCACGCTCAGAGCCCCTGCTCAGAGCCACGGGCGCTGCCTTTCCAGACCCAATTCTGCTCTCAGTTACACCCGGGAACTTCATCGTGGGCAGAGGTTGGCCTGGGGGAGCTGCAGGTTGTCCCTGAAGAGCATTCCGGGCTTCACAGCACCCAATGAAACAGGGACATGAGGAGGAAAACCTTCTTTTTTCAAAAGCAAGCATGAGAGAAAACATTCAAATTTGCTAATTTGGGGGTATTTTTGCCCTTTGCTATGCTTTTGGTTGTTTGTTCATTTGTTTTTATTAACCAGTACAAAAATATAAATACATGCTTCAATTTTAACATAATATATATATATATATATTCCACACCTTTCTCCCTAAATAATATATTACACAACAGCAAGTAGAGAAACTCCACAAATCGGCAAGACTCTCCAGTTGTCTATGTGACACCAAAAGTGACAGTAGTTTTTATCTGGCCACCAAGAACTGCTTTCCTCAAGCATTTCCAGGGAGGCTTCTCGGTGCCTCCCGACACGAGGGGTTACACATCACTGTGCAGCGTGGCCCTCTGAGCATCCGTGGAGCCCAGCCTGGCAGAAAGGCCACATACATCCTTGTGTGACAACAGCACAGAGGAACAGCCTAATCTCGAGACGACTGCCTGCTGCAAGGCACCGCGCCGTGGCCCTCAAGGCCATCGAACATTCATAATATCCTGTCATCACCGCCCACCTTGCCATCAAATGTCTGCTCACAAAACAGCCTGGTCAAAAAGGGGTGGTTCTGCATTGTAATTCTCCTGCAAACTTGAAAATACTGCAGAGCACGCTTGCCCCATTTTAAAGCAATTACCAATTATTTCACTTGCTTTTTAGGCATTTTTTTTTAAAAAAGAGACCCAAGTTCCTTTGCAAGAACACATTGTTTCTGGAAGCCATCATGCTAATAATGAACAAAAGAGCAACTGTATACAAGCAGGCTATAGGTGACATTTCAAGATATAAATGATTATTCTTTTCTTTACTCTGACAACTTCCAGGTTATCAATTGTTTTCGAAGCATTTTAGGCTCCGTGAAACTGGCACTATGGGGAAATGCTATTGTTTACCCTTTCACACTCGACAAAAGCAATTCCCACGTGAAATGCAAGTTTAGCCGTGGGACACAGTCCTCATACCTAAAGGAGGAAATTGTCTGGTGAGTTCCCAAGCACCAGAAACTGTCATGTTGTCACCCTCTATTTTAAAGCACAGTCACTTTGTTCCTTTGCTGTAGCTATTTTGGTCACTAAGAACTGTTTTGTTATGGCTTATGTAAATGCTATATAAATGATCAATCATAAATGTAACCAAAATAATAAAAGCTATGTATTGTAAAAAAATAAAGTTATCAGATCTATTAAAAATAGTAAATTCTTCCTTATACAGAATTTATAATACACAGAAACATCTCATAGTAAAACTGTGAAAAAGGAAAAGAAAGGGGAAACACTTACAAGGAAGTTTTAGATTGCCCTTAATTCTCCTTCAGCAGTTTGGCTGATTCTTAATCCCCATAAGAAATTCAATTCTCATTTGCATACAAAAAGCAAGGGATCATTTTAATGGCTTTAATTTTGAATGTATATTTTTAAGAATGTATCAAACATTTCACTGTGCTGGCTAATATCTTGTCAGTCGTGTTAGTGTAATATGTCTCTTTTAATAAAATAATTACAACATTACAATTTCCTTTATCTTCAGGTCAGGAACAATACTCACACTTTTCTCAACAGTTTTTTTTACATTAGTGCAGAACTGACTTTAAAAAGTGACCAACACAGCAACTGGAAGACTACCTGGATTTATTTGGAGAAACATGGTTCGCGTCTGTCAGTTTTAAAATGGTCATTACTACAAATGATATGATAGGTCTGTGCATTATATCAACATTTTTATTTCTTCCCTGCATACTTCCTTTAGAAGATACTTTTTTAAGATTAATGTACTTTAGTGTAGAAAATAATTTCAAATAAATAAGCATTAGAACTTGCTCAGCAGGTAATATTTATAAGTCCATCAAGATCAGATTAAAATAAAAAATATATAGTCCAGTCAATCTCAAACTGAATTGTGCTCATTCTGCACATTAAAGTTAACTTATTAAATGTCCATTGTTGACTGAAAACAGCAGTTTTTAAAGTTAATCAGTTTGTTCAGCTTTGACACTTTTGACGAGGCCGATATCAAAGTGGAAGGAAAGATTGATCCAAAGTTTTCCTTATCGCTCAGTAGGAGGCAGCAAGAAAAAAAACCAAACATGCAAAAATGTAGCACAGGGGATCTTCCAAACCCCAGCTTCCATGTGCTTTGTCAAAGCAGAAAACAACCATCTGACTCAACTGGAAGATCATGCGTTATGGTTTTGTTTGCTATTCCTCCTAGGTCCAACCCAGGGGGGAATGTCCACCACCTCAGGGCCTGAAAGGTAGCAACAGTGATAGAAAATCAAGATGATATGAGACACCTGTGACTGTTTAATGAGTCCTTTAATGTTTTACATTGATTTGTGTTGTACAATCATTCCTTGTGCTTTTATATTTGAGGATCCGAGAGTAAACAGCCTTTTTGGTGCAGTGCTCACCTCTGATTGTAACGTCTTTCTTTTGAAGCACCTCTTTGCCCGTGTTTACGTTCCTCACTCTGCATGCATAGGTGCCCGAGTGCGCCAGGGAAACGTTCTTGATGGTTAGCGTGAGCGTGACGGAGTGCTCCTTATTGACAGACTTCTTTACTTTCGTTTGGTTATTTACTGTCCTCGGTAAAATCCAAGCAATGTCTTTGTACAGGAATTTGTTGGCCGAACAGGACAATATCAAACTCTCTCCTTCAATAGGCATTTTTTCCAAATTAATATGGAATCCATTTGGTACATCTGTCAAAAATCAAGAACACTTTTTAGTTTATATGAAAAAATGAGTCAAAATTAGCATATATTTTTTCTCCCTTTATTGGGACATCTTTCAAATAACCAATGTTACTTTTTTCCTAGGCTCCAGGTAGTATTAAAGTTTGCCGCAGACTTACAAGACGTTTGGTGTAAATTGAGGTTGCTCTCATAAGTAGGAGGCTCGTACAAATGTTATGCCCACCAAGTTGAGACAGACTGGGGCAAGGCACCAAAAGCAGAATTATTTAAATAAAATGCATTGGGATTATGAAAACGGAAAGAAATTGTGATATCAGCTTTAGCTCATGAACTGCTTGAAAGACAATGAATCTCAAGAGGACAAAAGAAAGATATTCCAAGTCATCATACTTGGTTATACGGTTTTATTCATGAGTGTTCAGACATATGATGTCTAGTTCTTAAAGCACTTTTAAATCCTGAGAAATTACTGAATATGTGACTAAATGCCAGAGGTGTCCCTGGGAGAGAGGTATTTACTCTTCATACATTTAACATGTCAGCCATGCCAGAGGAAAGCAGGAACACCACCGACTGTTGAGGGTGACCAGCTGGCTGCAGGCAACGCATAAGATGAATATTGCTCTCTTCAGACTACTTGGCATTAAGTATAGGTGAGCAATATTGTCACTTGGGAAAAATCATGGATTGCTATGCCAATGGTTTGCTAGGAGTAAGTATGACAAGTTCTAACGAAGATGATCTCTAGAAAACACTTTAGGCAGGAACAAATTTAGCAACAATGTGAAAAATTCGACTTGCGGGTCTTTATAGCATTAGCGCACTCTCCTCTACGCGGGGAAGGGCAGATCCTTGAGGCCGAGCTGGCCAGGTCACCACCATCTCCACTTGAGCCTTAGCCTGCAGGTAAGAGAGTTACACCACCAGCTTAAGTGAAAGCAGAAGCAAGTTCCAGGCAGAAAACAGTTCCAAGTCTCCTGCCTTGTCTCTCTTGGGCTATTTGTAGCCATATGCTGATAAAAGCATTTCCTTCTACTTGTTTAAGTGAAATTGACTTTGGCCATTTTCAATTGTTCTTTACCTCCTAATTGCTAGGGCACTTGGCTGTGAACTTGACTCAGAATCTTTATAGTTTGTAAGTGAAAATTATGCCTTCTCTTCTTATCTCTTGGAGCAAGTGCTGCTTGACACAGCCTGCCATGCAGCTCTGGGCTTGTTGATGTCAGCTGAGGGCGAGCACTGCAGCAGCAAAGAAGTGCAAGGAGCCTTGGCAGACCATCCCACTGAGCAGACCATCCTGTACTGAGGCACCTTGAAGTGCCTGTGAATCAGCCCTGCCGCTCTGTGCCCAGGCTCCAGCGAATTATCCTCCCACCCCCTTTCCGTAACCTCTTTTCCTGATTGAGCAACCTAGCAGAAAGCTTTTCGTTACTCCCTAAATCTCCAGCATGCCAACTGAGCTGCCTTGCCTCCCCTGGGTACCCATGGGCAAGATGGACTCACTAATGCCTTTGAAACAATATGCTGCATATTGGAAGTCTGTCGTCAGCTGCTCCCCTGAGTATCCTCTTCTTCAGGCTAAGCACTGAGCATCAAATACTGTGCAGTTGAGCTCCTGTGAGTCAGATTGAAATTCCATTGAATTGTAGGCACTTTCCAAGGAAATACCAGGCTGCTGTGGAGCAAACCCATCTTGTCCTTGCAGCATGGACAATGTGCATGCCTGTTGTTTGTCGGCATCCAGATGTGCCAAATATTAAAAAAGCTGAAGCTGTGACTTCAAGATACTAGACTGGATTTTAAAACCTGTGGGCTTGCTGTGTTCCTCTTACTTTTCATTGATATCTCTTTTTTTCTCTCTCCAGCAAAGTTATGAGAAAAAAAAAATTAATGAACTTGTTTGTACATGACTATCATCAATATCTCTGATGTGCTCAGGGCATGGCAATAGATTAAGATCTTAATTAAATAAGTGTCTGGCAAAAGAGCTAAGATCAGGCCTTTCCCCAGAGAGGGATACAGCACATTTAGCTGTAGCTACCGAAGTGTAGACATCTATTGGAATATAATTCTTTTCTGTATGGGTATGAGCTTGCAGCCCATTGGAGTGACACAGGTACCTCCAGGGGGCAATGCAAACCATGTGCCTTAGGACCAGTCAAATTCCAGAGATCCTGATCCCTCACACTTAATTTTGAAGTGGTCCTACATAACCAGCTTGGATTTAGATAACTAACCTTAGGTTAACTTAGATAGAGTGAATACTGTGCTTGGTTTGGTTAAAAACCACTGGAGCTCAATACTTAAAGCCCAGTGAGAACCAAGTGAGAACCCAGATTTTTGTTTGTGGATAATTACTTGGGACTATCCAAGAAATTGCTCTGTCTTCTCCGCACTAGGTCTGAAATGGTTCTGATATGTATTGGGAAAGCCAGGGTACTGGTTTGAAACACTGCTGATTTTGACTTTTGAAAATGCCAGTAAAGGTCCAGAAGAGCCAAGCAAAACTTTTAAGATGAAACTAAAGATCCCCTGGGACTGAGAGCAACTGAGCTGTTTTTAACATAGAAGGAGAGCATGCCAACAGAATATTGTAGCTGCAACAGCTCCGTGTTGTCAGGTCTGGAACTTTTCCTGGATGTGTCTTCTGGAAAGACAGACTATTTTATGAATAAATCTAGGGACAAAAGCAAAATCCACAGGATTTCGAGCAAATCATTTGTTTAAAGACTACAAGTCCCTAATATATGACACCTCTCATCAATTGTTACAGGCTCAGGCTAGCTAAATAACGTGGCTGGGAATAATGTAAAAGGGTTTTATTTACTTTAGTGATTTGGAGCTTCCTGTGGAAATAGCTCCCAGGTTTCCTGATGGAAGATTTTGTTTATCTTTGCCAAGCACCATCAGGAATCTCAAAATAAAATGCGCCTAGTGACATTGGGAAACCAGGGAGATAAGGCAGAGCTGTTCCTGTTTCACCCTCTGTAATTGCAAACACACCCATGGGCCTGCTGTGTGCCAGCTGAACAGCCCCAAAAGTAGGGAAGGGGGCAGGCTGGAGGAAAGGGGGCTACAACAATTAATTCTGCCATAAAGGTATAACTACAGAGGCTGCTAAATTATCAGTGAGCAGGAGAACTTTCAGAAATCACCTTTGTGTGTTTCTTTGGAACATGGCTACATTTGTGCTGCAAACAGGGGTTTGCTTTTAGAATGAAGTCAGTGTGACAACACCCCAAAACCGCCCTTCACCTGGCTGAGGCAGCAGGAGAGGAAAGCTGTTCCTGGGCCCGTGGACTTCACGTCCACCAGCCTCAAGCAGAGGCTATAAAGTTATACCACCCTCGAGTCTCCCAGGAACACACATGCAGATTACAATTCAAACACAGAAATAATGAGATCTGGAATAATTTATGTAAGGGCTTATTCTTGCTAGAACCTCTCTCAGATCTTTCCTTGCACCTATTTCCTTACTGCTATCTTTCCCTGTAGCAAGGAACACGCTACTGCAAAAAGATGTGGCTGAGGTGAGCACTGCCTTTCCACCACCTTTTCAGAGGTTCCTGCTATGGCTGGAAAGAATCAAGACTTAGAAAAGAGACTTCTCACATCAGCATCCCAGCTTCACTAGAGCATGTGCCTTCTTCATCCTCAGGACAAGGTCTCAATGAGATTGAATGAGAAGAGGATTCCTTAGGCTTTCCCCCTGCCTGATTCTCCTCTTGAAAGGGATCACCTCCTGCTTAGATGCTTTCTTCTCTTACATTCAGTTTTGTGGGGTTCAGGCTGGCTTCATGCGGCTCCAGCAGTCCCACCAACACAAAATGAACCAAGTCCAGAGACCTGGAGTATTGGTTTTGGACTCATAAGAAAGAAACCTTCTGCAGTGGCTGCTAGTTCACATCCATTAGCATTTTGGCTGTCATTTTTTATTTCCCCAGTGTGTGTTTCAGCAAAGGCTAGAGAAGTGACGCATTTGCTTCTCAGCTGACGTGAAACACAGAGGGTTACCCAACCATGGCAGTTCGGTCACTGTTGACCAGAGGAAAATTACAATTATATCATGAAAGCTCAAGCATTGCATCCTCTGCACAAAACAGGAGGATGAGCCCAACTTGATTTTTATAAGAGCAGCAGTTTTGTTTAAACAAGCTGCGTTCAATCAGCACAACTGAGCGTCAGCGGATGAATAGGACTTTCCATGTCACACAATTGAAGTGCTCAGCTCCAGGAACTCGAAGGACAAATGCATTGCAACATCACCACCCTGTATAGAAAGGTTGCCACCAGTCAAGACATTAAGGATTTCCAAGCCAAAATAAAGCAGCCACTCCTCTTTCTGAACAGCAGCCAATGCAAGAGTCTTCAAAGAAAAGTCATAATATTCTGCATGTTTACATGCAGACTTTGGTATCGAGGAGAAGGATTTCCTTCTGCGCCTGGTTAAGAGCTGAGAATGTAAGATCTAAAAAGGAAACTAACACCTTCACATGATAGCAATAAATTATCTGAAACTGTCATCCAAAACTTTCAAAGAAGGGAGATGTGGGTACTGCAAATGGGGCCCTTCAAAAATCAGCTTTATTTAGCCTCAGGGTCTTATATGAAAACTGAGGAGTAAGAGCTAGAGAATGTCTAATTCTGTATCTTGCATATTAAAAAACCAACCACCTCCGTGAATGACTTGCCGTACACTCAAAGTTGTATGTGAAGTCCCCACAAAAAGATGAGAATATAGCTCAGTTAACACATTAATTTATGAAAAGCTATGTGTTGTTGCTTGTTTTTCTGTCCAAACAAATACAATTTATGAGTATGGATCAAGCAAAATTGTGATTCTAGAACCAGCACAGTAATCATCTTCAAGCTGGCAAATATTCCTGTCACATCCTCTAATAGAACATGGAGATATTATTCTTGTTTTCTTATTTTAGCAAACAGCCTAGTTATGTTTCTCTTACAGTTTATTGTTCAATAAGTAGCTCTCATGCTTATTGCTAGATTTCCAAATTTATAAACAATTTTCACTTTCTAAATGTGAATTCACGAGAACATTCATAAGTCTTGGTCTATAAATGAAGAGAGGAATCCAGTTTACAAGGAGGTTTTCTTCCTAGCCTTTTTAACCATTTCTAGTGGCTGTGTGCTTGGTCTTTCTTGATATTCTCAGTAACATAATGAGTTTCATTAAGATCAGTCATCACAAAAAGCAAAAAAAAAAAAAAAAAGAAAAAGGAATTATTATATTTTTCCCTTTCAGCTTCTATATTATGATTTTGGCATTAGAATATCAGAATGCTGTAAGCTTTTGTACCCTCTCATATTTAGGAATGAATTACATTAATGACCTATCCTAAAAGGTATTGTTAGCCTAAGTGCTCCATGAACTATCGGTTTGTAAACAAAATGAAGTCTTCCAACAAAAAATAGATCATTTGAAATACCATGTGTAGAAATTATGCTGCTATATCATCAAGTAGTCATTCTTAGAAAATTCATTTTTTTCAGTAATTCCTGACCTCAAAGCATCTATTTTTTTTTCTTCTGAACGTGCAAACACTTATACACACCCACTGCCAGAAACATATTAACATGCACAGCTAACAGATATGAATCTTTTCATTGTCATGGCCCAAGTGGCATCCAAGGGCCTTTTCAGGAGAGGGACTATAATTCAGTATTTTTCACCTGCTATTATTCTGCCTCTAAGTTGCTGTTGCCCCTAAGAGAGGCTGCCAAGTGTCACAGCCCCCTTTCTTGCTCCAAGTTCCCTGCAGACAGTGTGCACTGCTCTGAGGGCACCTTCGTGAGACCTGCTGGTTTGAGAGATCTGTAGAGATCAATAGTGTCACACAGGACACTGAGACAATAGTCAGAACACAGTAGTCCTTCTTGTACGGAATGATTGCAGAGGTCATGCAGTATAAAGGGTCATATTGCCTGTTGCTGGATTTACGAGCATTTTGGGCCATGCTGGGATGCTTGATGGAGGGATGTCATTCTTCAGATTTGGTTCCCCTCTTAGAAATCCAGACCATTTGTTGTGAAAAACCCTACCAGAAACACTGAAAAGCATGGTATGAGTTTACAAGAGTACATATTACAATACTTCTCCTGGTCTGGGATGTGTAAAAGCCATGACGACCTAACATTTCCAGGATCAGGGAGCACTTCTAGCTCTAGCAAGGACTGCATCTTACCTGTCACAATAAAGCTCACGTTTCTTTCAGCTTTCCCCACTTTGTTGGCTGCCATGCAGCTGTAGATTCCAGAAGATCTGGCATCAGCTACAACCAGAGTGCTAGCGGTCTGCGAAAGAAAGAAGAAATTTAGCTCTCAGTGGATCATCAAATTGTTTAAAAGCTTCCCTTCTCTTTTTACTAAATCACTGTTAACACTCCTAAGATTCAGCCTCTCCATTCATCCAGGCACCTCAGAGGCACCTCAGAGGCTATTTAAAGGAGATGTCACCATATAAATTTTGGTAATACTGGAAAAACAACAGGAAACAAGCTCCTCAGGAGACCATTATATCATCAGAGTCACCACAATGAAAATCCTTTGAATGTGTCTTTCAGGTTGACTTATCTCTTGCTGATGTAACGATAAGTTAGAGAACACAAAGTGTGACGCAACATGGTTCACGCCAGGGGACAAGCAGCCTCCAGGCAGCCAGTCAGCAAAGGGACTAGCTGGAGATCAACTTGGGCACTTGGACAACACTGGGAAAAGAGTAACTCTGTTGAACACTAAATGCTTTCATTTTCATTCTCTTTTGAGTGAAAAAGGGCAAGAGCAAACGAAGTTTACTCTCTATTTTGTGGGGACCATCTCCTCTTCTTCATCTAATATTTCTATCATTAAACAATTATCCTTTGGGATTTTCTTACTTTGCACTCTAGTACCACATTGAGATGGAGCTGAGACATGGGACATGCATCAGCAGTGGGAAGTGCACTTGGATGACACAGTGTCTTGTTCTTCTTGTTCTTCTATCTAAAGGCTCTGCCTTTGTTCTTCTGTAAAACATGCTCCGATGGGAATTACAATAGAATTGTGACAGTGATGAAGGAAATTATGTGGCCACTAAATTTTGCTTTTTTGAATTATTTGAGTTTTTTTTTCCTAAATACTTTAAAAATGTTTTTGTGCAATTAATACATTCTTTCTTTAAGTCTGCCTTATTCCTGGAATCCAGAGGCAAGGTTAGGAGGGCAACTCAATGCTGAGTAAAGACCAATTATCTGAATTTCTTTATAAACACTGGTTCAACATTCATACTGCTTCTCTGTCACCTATTCAGGGACTTCATGCCCAACCTCTACATATAATACACTTTCTGGTATCCCAGAACATTCTTTAATAGAGAGACTATTATTTTTCCAGCTACTCAAGCAAGTATAGTGGAGTGAGGTCATTTGGTTTGGGCTAGATTATTTGCTTTAGAAAATGCCTTGTGGCAAATTCAGGACTAAAAGTGACACTAATGGTATCCCTAAGTTGTCTCAATAGTAATTTATCTGTCTGCTAACTAGTTACATCTCATTTTCAGCTACCTTTTTACTTACCCTTTTTTATTTGTTCTGTGAGATGAAAAAGGCTCAGTAATATCAGGTAGATAATTACAGCCCTTGAAAAAAAATCTACTTGTTTGGCTAAATTTAGTAAACTGACCTCTATAAATTCTTAATTATAAAGCAAGGGTCCATCCCTGTCAATATTTTGTTACTCTCTTTGAATTCCAATTGTTTTTTAAACATCATTTCTTAAAGTGTGGACATACGGCTCAGAGTAGGATTCCTGAAGCCCTTTTTGCCAGCATTAACTTGGAATATAAGAAAGTCCTGTAATATCTGCTGGCTACCTAATATGGGTGGTTAAAAATTGTTTCTGCTGTTCCAGGCTCTCCATCACAAAATAAGACTTTCTTGTATCTCTTCATATGACCTCAAAACAGTTTTGCAAAGGTAGAAACAATGACATAAAATGTACAGTGAAGGAAAATGAGACTCTCTCATTCTAACTGCAGGGTGCCTAATCTTTATCCTACTGCACTAAGATCCAGAATATTTCAGAACCTGAAGAGTACACTGTAAATACTCCTTCCACTGTGGTAATTAGGACTTTTTGGGGTAGTATCGAAGAGTATATTGTTCTGACAGGTCAGGTATTAGCTTTTAATGGAAATTTTTCCATAATGTCTGGGTTTTACTGCTCCAGCCCACTATGGCATGATAGTTACCTTTATTAAACTGCAGTTTGCATACTTATTAAGCTGTGTGACTATATTTACTGATCTGAGTGGTTATACGTTACGTCTGTCCTCAGGTACTACATGACTCTAGGAAACATTACTGGGCACAGAAACTCTGTGATTTATACTGTAAAATTGTTGACATGTCCCTAGCACTGCTTTGGTTTAGACTAACTTGCATTGTCCCAAATACTGTTCTAGCACAGACCAACCAATGCTCCCCAAAAGCAACCGTCAAGCAATCACCCTCTTTTGAAGGATAAGAAAAATGAATGTTATGAACACTGGCCATTCTACACATGCTGGTCTTGGTGTCACAGAGCTGTCATTGCTATATTTACTTGATTAATACAGAGATAACCATAGTGTCTAGAAAAAAGCAAGACTAGCTTTGCAACCGAATCTTTTTGCGACACAATGTCTCTGTGCATGTCTTTTAGCTTATAAATTAGCCATAAGGATAAAATAACATCTCTTTAAATAGCCTGTGAGTCCTCCAGTGGTGTAGACTGTGCTCTACATTGTGGATGCCAGTCAAAACCCACCAGAGAATTGGTGTGTAGAAAGCTAAGCCTGACATGTTTTTGGTTTGGGGGCAATTACGGTTATTCAAGACCAATTTCTGCTGTATGGTTACTCCATATAGCTATTGCTGCAAAAAGAGTAAGAGAAAAACCGTTTATCACAGACTTGTATCAACCTCTTTGGCAATGGATCATGAAGAGTCTCAGGTCCTGGGTTAGCCACCACATTATGCACAGAAAATCTGATTCAAGCTGCCATAACCAGACAGGACACAGCACACTCTTCTAGGCTTTTCTTGACATCTTGAACATGTTCAAATGTTCAACTATCTAGAAGCCCCATTTATGACCAAAGCTATGATCCTTTCTTCTTCCTTTCTGTACTCAGATCATCTGGAGCCCTGTGCTATGGACTCATTTCAGAGCCAGAGGGAAGTGAATCACCTACTGCTGTTGCTACTGCAAGGAAAAAAAATAAATAACAGGTGTAAAACAGAGATTGTGAGATGGAAGAATAAACTGCAGAGTTGTCCAAACTGGAAAATGAGGAGGAAAAGACTAGGGAAAAGAGTGCAAAGCTTTGTGGCCCAGAAGCAGGATGGATTGATCTTTCTCTGGAGTGTCTCCTTGAAACTACCTCTTCCCATAATAGATTGGTAAAAGATCTCTAACTGCTTGGTGCTGGTGACAGCTGGTGACCATTTGTGAAGGTTTCACAAAATAGTTGTTACCAAGACCCTTTCCTTAGCCTTAGAAGGGCTCTACAGACACATGCATAAACACACTCCATTCAGAGACTGTTGCGCTAACTTCTCTGAACAGCCCATACATTTAAAAGACAAAATATTGCCCTTTCAGCATTGATCAGGTTGGTGTAAGTCTGCCAAATGTTGTTGATGCCCTCCTAGGTATGCTTTTAAGAAAAATTATTTGTCAAAAAACTAGGAAGCAAATGAAAATACTCTTCCCACTATCTTACAAGCAGCCATGAAGACCAGATTTGTCTAAGGCTAAAGTGGAGAGATTAGTTAGGAAGACCCATGCTGAAATATTGGTGGCACACCACTAGATTGCTCTGAGTGTGCCAAAAACATTATCCACTCAGCATGCCTCACATCTTGGCAAGGAGCATCAGTGCCAAACATCTGGACAACATGCTTCATCCTCAGAAACGCCACCATGTCCAGAGAAGAAACTCTCAACGACAGGTTTCCAAAATCAGGACAATAAGCACAGGAAAATGCTTTCTTTCCCCCAGTTCAGGCAGTTTCTTCAGCAATTAGAGCTGTGTTTTTGCCATTGCACCACATGCTGTCCTGCTTGAACAGGCTGTGAGACTGAGTGCATCCAGCTGACTCATGACAGCCAGCAAATACCAACACGTGCACTCCCTGCACTCGGTGCTCTACATACACAAAATAAAGCAGTGTTTGATTCTGATGGAGGTCACTGATTTTAAAAGCAGGAAGGACTTACAGCTCAGCAGAGGCAGGCGCCAAATTCTGCTCGTTTTAATCTTGCCAAGCACTAGGCTCAGCTGGCACCTCTGGAGTGATCTATTTAAAAGTGTTGACAGCAATTTTAGTAGCACCCTGAAGGGCCCAAAGAAGTTACAATGTGCTGAAAGAGAGGCAAGCTAAACTGCTAGTGCTATCTTTAGACTGCCTTTCTAGGAAAATTATGCCTATCTGTCCATCTGTCTGTGAGTGTCCTCTCCTTCCTTCCACCCTCAGCAGTTTCTGAACTGGTGGTTTGATTTCAACCAAAGCCGACAGACTTTTCAAAGCTAGTAAGATCTTATGTGTTGCCAGGAAATCAGCTGTTGGATAGAGGAGTAAAAACAAAATGCATGCTGTTGCTGTTCTGGTTGGATGCCATGGTGCCAGTGGACATACTGACATGCATAGACACTGAGAACAGACACAACAGATATTCCCTTTATCCATTTAGTAATGATGGGATATCAAAAAGAGCTGGAGGTTTGGGGCTCGACATACAAGGTGCAGAAAAAATTGATCCATCCTGTTCTCCATGATGGCACATTGGACTGACTTTCCTGACTACTCTGCACTTCACATTTATGTTGGAACCACAGCCACAGTTTTTAAGAGCACCCATAATCAGCACATGCCAGGATGACTTATCATTGTGAGCCAAAGCAGAGATGTGTAAGAGCAAACCTGGGCTTGGTTTTGCAGAATCTTCTAACAGGGACATTACTTTCCATTTTCGCTAAAGTCAGGTGGTTTTGTCATTCACAGGAGATGGGATCATTAAAAAATTGTGTCAATAAGGCCATCTTACTTGGCTTGCACAGTGCAAATAAGGCAATCTGTTTATCTATAGAAAGATATATACATATACTTATATATACATGTACACACATACAGGAGAACAGGGTCAAATGTATATGTGTACACATACATATATGTAGTCTTACATATATGGGTGTATATGGGTGATTAATTATCTGAACAAAGCCATTAAGATAAAGCACAGCTCCATCGCTAATTTTCTTTATATAGTTTTCCTGGATGCACATCTCATGACACGGTCCTTACTTTTGTACTACCTACTACCATTGGTGGCTTACCAATATTTCCAAGCAGCAGAAGAGTGCGGTGCTCAGGGGCAGCTGCTCTGCTTGAGGTTATGCAGAATGTGGCCAGTGCGTTATTCCCTCAAACCTAGATTTTCTGAGGCACTCCCTCCAACCTTTCCCTGTATCTCTTCTGTCATCTTCTTTCTCCTGAATTTATCATAATTGTTCTCAGCCAGCACCTTCTAGTCTCTCCCGCCTGAACTCACCTTCTTAGCCATCTTCCATGAGTTCACCCCAGGGTCTCTGCCCAGGCCCTGATTTGTCCCTGGAATCTCTGTACAGGGAGTACTAACTCCATTTGTAGCTACTGATAAATAAAAATTATCCTATGCACACAGGAGAGAAGTCATGTATATACTACAGTGATACCAATGAATATACCACCTCTTTATATCTTGTTATTGCAGGTCATTCACAGACTGACATTTTAATCTCTCATCACTCTAAGAACAATAATCAGTATTGGCCATGAATTATATATAGCAGTTAATTTTATCTGGAAAAACTGTGAACTGATAGCCTAAGAATAGTGCAACTTCGTAGGAAGTCACTAAAATCTCCAACAAAGTTAGAGTGAAACTTTGAGTGTGGGAATCAAATCGCTTGAAGGGTTATCTTATGATTAAGTATTATGTCTCATGTCACAACTTCTTCCATTCAAGTTTCTCAATGTCCGTTTAGAGAGGTTTCAACGGAAACGTTACTAATACACTGTTGTTGTCATGGTTTCTCTCTGTCACTAGAATAACGTAGCACAGGCTTCCTGCATTACTTTAACCATAGTGACACAGGGTCTGAAGTTTCTGTAATTTTAAAAATATACTTGTGTCTACCTCTGTAATAGCAGACAACCAATCAATCAAACTACCAAAGCAAAGGGCTAACACTTGGATGTTGCTAATGGAAATCTTTTGATTATTCTCTTGGTTACAATAGCTTCATCCTCTGGTCACGTCCATTACCCCTTTTATTCTAACCAAAATGTGGAACTCTCTGTGTATCTTCATCCATTTCCTACTGCTTTGTCTACTATTTTGCTGTTTCCACAGAGCTTTATGGTTCTTCTTTACCATGCCTACTATGCTTGGCTGTAGAAACGGGGTAGACACTCTGTTCTGAGAGCAGGGCTCCATTGATACGAAAGTGCCTGGGAGAGCTGTTTATAGCTGCTTGTAGTAGCAGAACTGCTCACAGTAGCAGTTCATCAGAGCCAGACAGTTGTGATGACACGCTGCATTCAGTGAGCTCAGTGCTATTGACCTTCTTACAATATCCCAGCCGATGAGGAAGAAGTTTGTCTGAACTGTTTCCCCTTGAGTTTGCCCTGGGAGACCAAAAAGACTATTGGATTGCAAGGAGTGAAAAGCTATAGACTTCCACGAGGGGAAAAAATCCTGGAAACTATAAGGCAGCTGCAAGCACACAAATCATGCAACTCACAGTCTGGCCAGAAACTCATGCTTAGAGAGCATTTTCTAATTACGCTAGCAATCCAGCTGTGCCTAAAAAGCTAGGAAAGAGCAGCAGAACAGAGGAGCAACAGAACAGAAGAAACCTTAAGAAAATAATTCTCAAAATTGAAAGAGTTTGCACTGAGCCAGGAGCTTGATAGCTGCAGGTAACCAGCACATTTTCAGCACGGAAAGCATGTAAAACAGAAGTAAATCAAAAGGCTCCAATTGAAACCCACTTTTTTTTTCCCTAAAAGCATTACCACAAAGAAAAAAAGAAAGAAAGAAAGAAAAAGCCGAGGAAAAAAAAGAACTATTTCACTAGGCCTACCTTTCCCTAAAAACAAAAACAAACACAAACAAAAAAAACCCCACAACAACAACAAAAACACAGTATGGGTACTCATACAAGACGAAACAGCAAGAAGACAAGGAATCCAAGAACCACTGAATTTCATTGCAAAACTTTCCATGTTACATGGACTATCCCTTGATTCAGTTTTGGACACATAGAAACAAATGCTTGTCAAAGACTTCGAGTAGAGCCAGCAGTTCTGCAGCGAAGACCAGTATCAGCACCTTCCTCCTGGGTTGTCGGTGCCTGGAAGTTGGTCTGACACTTCAGCCACCCCTCTTCTTCAGTCTCCAAAACGCATGGCACATAAGGAGAGAGAGGTCTGCTATTAGACAGCTCCTTCTGCATCCTGTGAGCAAGTACGTCTTCATTTTTAGCATGGTTTACTGTCTTCGGGAAGATAACTGATCCTCATTGCATCATTCTTCCTTTGAAACATCTGACAGCCAGTGCTTCCAATGATTTTCTTTTCCTTTTACAGTTGCCTCCTTATGTCCATTTTCATGTGCTTTCCTATGTGCTGTTCACTCCCATTTTTGCCCCCATCTTTAATCACATAGAGATGGCCAGATAAATAGAGCAAATGTCTCACAGGCCACCCCCTTCCCATGAATGAACTCCTGTGCCTAAAAATTATAATAGCAAGAGAAAATGCAGTCTCAGGCCTCATTCTTGGCTGCATACAAAGCCCTGTTTATGCTGCGGGGTGTGAAAATGACCTAACATGAGAGTAATTACAATTTATATCCCTTTTCATCTGCAGAAACCCAAAGGCAGACATCAAGAAAAGGCAGACATAGGTTCCCCTTGCTCTTCACTTAGAATTATAATAAGCACTTCAGGATGCTAAGAAATTTTAGGTTTGGTGTAATATAGGCTTTCTACTCTATAATCATGTTAGTCATTACTGCAATGAACCAAATTAAACTGAAACCAGATGCTGTGATGGTGGCAAACCATGGTGCATCTCTGCCAGAACTCCAGCATAGTACAGGCTACCCAAACATATCAAATCATTCTGATGCAGAATCCAATACGGTAGAGCTGATCAAGGGCATCTTTTGACAGAACATATTGATGTAAAAGTTTCAACTGATGGAGAATTTCCCAAAGCTCTTGGCAAGCTAATGTCAGTGTTTCTCTCCACTATATTGGACAATAGCACAGGACAGAGTATGTCATTTTCAACAGTACCTGCATGTCCCCATGACCCATAAAGGCAGTTCTGATGCTTGACTCAGACTGGACACCTAACATTCAGACAGTTAATGAAGATGGCATGAAACTCATTATGCAACTCTGAATTACTCTCAGATCACTCTTAGAAATTTTCTGTCCACAATCCAGATTAATTTGTCCTTTTCAAATTTTTATTGTAAAAGAAGATCTGATCATCTAGCAACCTCAGCCTTCATCTATGAATAAACTCTCTAATGAGAGTAAATTATTTTATTGTCATAAGAAAAACAACAGGAAATTGCACAAGAGCACAAAATGAAGACAAGATGCCTGGAACTCTTCGCCTGTGTTTCTGAGATGCCCCAAAATACAACAAGACAGCTCTAGGTAACCACTTATGCTAATCCCACCAATACCCTAGCATGTCTTGTCACTTACCTTAATAAGACTGCATGCAGAAATAAGTATGCCTGTACTTATCTATCTCAGTATATAAACAGCACACTCTGTCTTTGCATGTGCAGAAGTTCTCTGCATGCATGCAGATCTTCAAATGGAAGCAGTATATTAATACTGCCTTTTTCTTTGTTATCTCAATAGAGCATCTTGAAGCATCTTTTCAACTGATGCTTTCACACAAAAGAGCTATTTTCTCCCAGTAATCATACCTTAGTTTTGCCCTCAATTACTGCCGTTCTTTCTGTGATGCTCTGGATTCTGTTTCCTGTGAGGCTGCCAGCTTTCAAGGTGAAAGATCCTTCTGTATAAGAGCAAAAGCCATGCCTGAAGACAACAAAAATCATATGAGTCTTTATTGATTTGGTTGAAGACTGGAACATTCAACGTATAAACCAAAACAGTTCTTCTGGAGCCAATGATATCATCCGGAAAAACTGCAGTTGCTGTGGTCACTAGGCAGTTACATTTACATTTCATAAAATCTTGAGGTTTGGAGCCTGAAAACCAGATCCACTTTCACAATCCCTCCCCAGCATAATTTCTCTGGAGTTAGTGTTAACATATAAGCTACGATAAATTAAATTGGTATCACATCAGCCTATAATTAAATTCAGATCATAAATTCTAACCTGACTGTCAATGTCCTATTTCCAGTGCTCCTAAATTTTCAGCCATTATGACAGGCTTGGCTTTATGTATGTGTTGATATTATTTTCAGCCTTAAAATTCAAGATAAATTATATTTGTTTCAAATTCTATTTGATAATGTATTGGATGCAATTTCATTATGTGCAAGTTCTTTTAGTTACCATGAAAATGATGCAAATTCTAATTTCTTATCATTTTCTTTATTTCAGATTACAAAATAGTAAATTATCAATACTGTGATTCAATGACTGCATAATAAAAACTATGCAGAATCTTTCAAATTATAAAAACAAATTTGAACAAAACTGTCCAAAACTGACAAAGGAATTCAAATGCTCACTTTATCTGAAAAAAAATCAAAGACATGCTGATGAATGGAAATCTCAGGAAAAAAAAAAGCCTTACACAACAAATTGGCTTATAATCAGAACATTCAGGTGTGGTCATGGTAGAGCTAATTTGTTTCCCAAAGCTTAATTCGGTACACATGGAAATAAGCATGCTGGAATGCTTCTTAAATTCTGTCCATCCTTATTGTTTTTTCAGGACATCTAGATTTGTTTTTTTATCCAAAATCTAATCACTGCTTTTTCAATTTCATCTTGAATAGTAGAACTTAACCTTTCATGAGGGGCAAGCTCTTTCAAATACATTATGTTCCTTTGATCTACCATGAATTTAGAAGATAACTACCGTAGTACTCATAGTCTGTCTGTCTGTCTGTCTGTCTATCTATTTATCTATCTATCTATCTATAGATATAGGTTCTTTGGTAAAATGACCTTTAAAGCCTGATGACTGGATAACATGCAATCATGACCTAAGAATGAGGTTCATTTCCCTTCAGCTAACTGTGCAGCTTGTGTTGTTTATAGTATCTGTGGTACACTAGCTTTATGTGATTCCTTTTAGTTGTGTAGCATGGCATCAAGCTGACCAGTGTGTTAGCTGATATTGCAGCTTAAAGAAATGATAGTATGTAAACTAATTTGGGCTGTAATCACTAGCATAGATATATAATCATCTGCCCAAACTTCTTAATGTGCACTCAGTGAGCTAAAGAAGTCAAAAACCAGGAGCAAGCCATGGCCATTCATGCACAGAGAGAGGATGGGGAGCAACAGCATGGCAAGAAAGTCCTACCTATCCAACCACTTAATTCACAGATTCCAGTTGCTGGTTTAAAGGCCAGCTTCTGAGAAATGGTTGTTTAGAAACAGAAAAGAGAAATAGGCAGAATGGTGAAAGATAGCTCTATGAAGATAGCTCATCTGTTCAGATGGAAAAAAAATAGAGAGGTAGATCCCATTTATGTTGCACATACCATTTACTTTGCACATTTATGTTTTAAGAGCATTAAATGCTCTTGTTTTGTATCAAGACCAGAGCTCAGAAGAAACACCAGTGTAAGTGGGACAATAACTTTACCGTACCATAACAGGTTTTAGAATTCAGTTTTTGATGCCAGTATCAGAGGCACACAAATAGGCAGTCCCGAAGACACATCTGTGTAACTGGATACTGGAGCAATCTCTTCATAGAAATATGGAGACTGTAGAATCTCATTTCATCTATACTAACACATCTTTTTTTTTTTTTTTTCATCCTCTCAGAGAGGTGAAAATATTATTTTTCCTTGCAGAATGAATTTATGCTTCTTTGTTCCAGAAACATATACTGGAAATTTATCCTCTTTGCAATAAACATCCTTTCTGACACGCTAGTAAAGGATCAAGAGAAGGCATAATGCATATTCAGAAACCCTTTAAGCACCTCTGACAGGTATCTTCATTCTCATTTCTTTCTGCTCTGTGACCTGTGGACTTAGTTATTATTGTATTCTTCCTTGTAGGTGCCCAAGAGTGAGTATATATATCTAGGCTGCAGTGTCCTAGGGGTGAGGAGAGTACAGTGCTACGTGTTTGTTAACGCCTAGTACAATGGGTTGCTGATTACTTCTTAATATCGTAATACAAACCACCATCACACTTACAATAACATCACAATAACAATGAAACACATGTAAGACACCAGATAAAGTATTAGGTCCAGAGGCACATATGTGAACTCCACTAACTTCACATACTGTATTATCTTCAAACTGTCAATTACAATGCTAATATCACTATAATAGAAAATTGAATAACCTTAATAGCTGTTGTCTATGGCTTCAAATTAAAAAAGAGAAAAAGAAAAGGAATCAAGGTCAAGCCAAGAATACATTATCAAACAGCTTCTCTAGTCAGTAGTAGACAGTGGGAGATGCGGCTATCAACACACAGTGTGCCCTCAGCTCCACAGTCATGTTGACACTTACAGACCAGCTGAAACATGGGTGCCAGGGTAGACCTGGAATAAGATTCGTGCCTTTGGATATATAATAAGACATTTTCTTCCTTCACCTTAAGCTCGAATGCACAAACATAGCTTAAGGACAGAACAACAGCCATCTTTAGCCTCCCAGATGATTAGTTAGAGGAGTACTTAGTCATTCTGCCTTTTGCTGCTTGCAGCAATGCCATGTAAACCCAGTGACAGGACGAGGGCTAATGGGTGTAAAGTTCAAATATAGGAAGTTTAATCTTCATATGAGGAAGAACTTCTTTACTGGGAGGGTGACAGAGTCCTGGAACAGGCTGCCCAGAGAGGCTGTGGAGTCTCCTTCTCTGGAGATCTTCAAACCCGCCTGGATGCCACCCTGTGCCACGTGCTCTAGGTGTCCCTGCTGGAGCAGGGGGTTGGACTAGATGATCTCTAGAGGTCCCTTCCAACCTCAACCATTCTGGGATTCTGTGATAAAGCATTGCTTAAGCCAGATGCCTTGGTTAGAGACAGACAAGGGACAAATGGTAGCAATTAAAAATCATGTTCTTGACTTCAGCTCTTAACAACAGGCATTTTGTAACAGAAAGTAAGATTCTGCTGAACTTTGATGCAGTTATAAAACTAAATGTTTATGTTAAGGACAGATGCTTGGAAAGAAGTAGAAAAGAAGCATAAAAATTTACTCTGGATGGGACTAAAATACAGTGATGTCCTGGTTAGTTCAGTTGAAGTTTCATTGTATGCGTCCTCGGATAACATCAGCTACATATTTTTATGGTTTCTAAAGAATTTACAAGTTCCTTTGAATTATCCACTCAGTAAAATACCAAGGGTATCCTGTGTGTAACAAGCACTGCTTGTGTTTGTGCTTGAAGGGAAATCCCACTGAATTTTGAGTATCTGAACCTCTGGAGTTCATGAATTCCTGAAATAATTTGTTGTTGGGATGAGCCTCATTGCTTTGCATATTCAGGAACGTGAGCAGCAGGGCCACTGCCAGGTTAGTGAAAAAGCACACAGTGTGCACAGAGGTTGATAAACAAGCTAAGGTTCTGCCAGGACACTTCTAAGCAGTCCTTATACCTGTTTGCCTGGATATCCTTTCATACTCCTACATTGTGGTCCCGGAAATGCATGTGTAGAGATCCTATATAATAAATACTTTGTGTGTAAGTATACATATATATTTAGACATATTATGCAATCTCAGATGAATGTAAGAAACATCACTAACAATGACTAATTCTAGTGCTAGGAGAATCAGAGTAATCATGATTTAAGGATCCTTCCCCCTCTGACTGTAAGAATCAGAAGTGCCACTATCAGCACTGTACAAATATACATGTAAGCTCTTCCTTCCCCAAAGAATGTATAGCCTTAAAATAATGAAATAAAGAAAGTCTCTGTCATTATTTTAAAGACACGGAGGAATGCACAGAGATATTACCAGCAAAATCTTGGCCCAATTAATGTCAAGCAGGAAAATATCAAGATCTTTTGTGGATCAATTCAGGAACTTTTCTGAAATAATTTGCGCACTGTCTGCCACATGAAGAGTATGGCAGGTCTGGGAACCTGAGTTCCTAGGCAGCCTCTTCACCTCTACCTTTCTCTGCAAAGAGTTCCCCTTAAATCCAGGTTTCTCACCCCCTAAGTAGTTTTTCCCATGTGCTTGTGTGCGTGCTTGCGCGTGCGTTTTTCTGTGTGCATGCGCGCGCGCGCACACGCGCAGAGGCACGCACACATCCCGGGGCACGTTTGGGTCTTTTGTGTCAAGAGCTTGAGGAACAGGCTATTCGGTTAGAAAAACAGAAGCCATTAAATCTCCTGTGGATTTCAAAAGGACTCTGGGAGAAGGGGGAAGGAGGGGTCAGGGGCTGACACTCCGGAGCTGCAGGAAGCGTGGAGCGCATGCTGTGCGGCTGCATGCAGGACAGCAGAAGATCCGTGCTCCCTGAAGGACTGACTCCGGACCACGGGTAGACCTACTCACCATTCCTCACTTTAAGAATTTACACTTCTTTGAAAGGGCCAGGCTTTTATATAACTAGAAGACCAGATTTTAAAAACAGACTCTGCTTTGCAGTGCTGGCACACTCGTCAGCCCTTGAGAAGTTTTCTGGGGGAGGGGAGCCAGCCCGATTCTTAAGAATACATGCAGCTCTTGAGGAAGCAGAGTGTGCCATGTTTGAAGATGCAAAGATAATCACAGTGCTGGGAACCGTCTTGTGCAGCGGAGGAAGCCAAACAACAAGAGGAAAGCAGCATATGCTCCTGATTTCGCACAGGAAGCTAACAGCACCTCCTGCCAAAGTGAGATAAGAAAAATCCCATGGCCTATTCTGGACAAG